TTGTTTTTCTTCTTTATATTCTTTTTAACTGCCTGCCCAGGTATCCAAGTTAACATGTGTCTAGTCCTGGTGTGGCACTATAGAATAAGCTCTCGACCACAAAGTTGGTTTGAACTGCAAGGTTGGTGGTTCAAACCCACCAGCCGCTCCTTGGAAACCCTACACAGGGTTGCTATGAGTTGGAACCAAGTCAACGGCACTTAACAACACCCTCTAGCCAGTGAAAATTCTCCCTTCCCTCCAACCCTTGGTATCCACCACAGAATGCTTCTTTTAACATACAAACGTTTCCTTCACTTTTTATAGTAGTGTTCTCATACAATATTTGTCCCTTTGTGATTGACTAAATTATTGTGATAAATTGATATTATAGCATGGAAACCTTTTCTGGACATTTTTCAACAGTGGTCTCATACAATATCCTTTTGTGATTGACTAACTGGACAACTGTGTGGAGAAATCAAACACTTCATTGTGCTCAATGAGGTACCTGTAAATAGACCATGAGGCAGTTTGAATAGAACAAGGAACACTGCATGCTTTAAAATTAGGACAGGTGTTCAACGGAGTTGTATTCTTTCACCACACTTTTTTAATCTCTGCTGAGCAAATAATCTGAGAAGATGGATTATATGAAGAAAAACATGGCATCAGAATTGGAGGAAGATGCATTAACAGCCTGAGATATGCATTTGATACAACCTTGCTTCCTGAAAACAAAAAACAAGAAGACCCCCAACAAGATGAATTAACACAGTGGCAGCAGCAATGGACTTAAATATAACAACAGTTGTGAGGATGGCACAGGACCAGGCAGTGTTTTGTTCTGTTGTGCACAGTCACTATGAGTCTCAGTAGATTCAACAACAACTAACAACAACACAAGTATCTCTGAGATCTGTGTCCTCCCCTGCCATATCTACTTCTCTTCCTGGTTCTAACCCTGAGCATCATTTGCCTAATCACTGCAATTACCCCAGTTGGTCTCTCAGCTTCCCATCTTTTCTTTCTGAAGTCATAGTTCTCCATAGAGCTGCCAATGATCTATGTCATGTCCACCTTAAAAGTCTAGTTACAGTTTAAGTTCTTTCAACCTAACGCACGTGAGGTTCCTTCAAGTCTAATTCATGCCAGCCTTTCCATCTCTTGACACTTTCCACTGTCTGCTTAATGATAGAGACTGCAAACGTAATTTCCAGCCTGTTATATTTGGTACATAAACTTTTACATGTCTTCAATTATTTGTCATATGTATTTTTTAAATGGACTATTTCCCATAGATACCTGTTTTTCTGGCTTCTCTTGGAAAACTGGAAGCACTGCCCACATTGGCCCCACATACCTGCCTACTGAGTAGTGACTGCCCTCTTTGGATAGTGTCTTAGCTCTCTGGTGCTACTATAATCAAAATACCATAAGTGTATGGCTTTAGCAAACAGAAATTTAAATTCTTACAGTTTAAGAGGCATAAAGTCCACATTCAGAGTGCCAGCTCTAAGGGAAGTCGTCAGTATGTGTCTGCTCTCAGGGAGAGGAGGAGGTCCTTGTCTCCTTTCAGCATTTGTAAATTGAGCATTCCTTGGAGATCTCCATGTGTCTTGACATCAGTTTTGCTATGGGTCCAGGGCTTTCTCAAGTGACGGGATCCCAGCCCTACAGCTGCATTCCACTCTTGGCTCTTCTTTCATGGTGGTAGTAGGTCTCCCTCTCTCTGCTCATTCCTCTCTTCTTTTATCTCTTGTAAGATAAAAGGTGTTGTAAGTCATCCCTTACATTAGATTGTTGTTGTTGTTAAGTGCCATCGAGTCGGTTCCGACCCATAGC